TGCTTAATTACCAAAATTATTCCGAACGTAAACGGTACGTCGAAAATAAATTTCGGCAATCTCGACTGAAAATAATTAATTTCGAAAATAATAATCGATAACGTTATTATATCGGAACTAAAACATAATTTACACTAATAAAATATCGGGATATTACATTTTTAGTATAACCTTTAGCAACCAGTCTTGCTTTAAAAGTATTAACTTCTCCATCTACACCTCGTTTTTGTTTGTAAACCCATTTACAACCTATGGGTACTATACCCTGTGGTGGATCAACCAAAGTCCATACTTTGTTTGAATACATAGAGTCTAACACCTTATAAGATATAAATGGTATTCACAACTGAGATAGTTATGAACATGATAATCGGTTTAGGTTGTAGTATAAACTCGATATAGCTTGTCTTGGCTATTGGTTTATACTAGTGCGCTGCGTCGCATTGGATGGATCACAGTTGAGACGTGTTCTTCTGTTCTGACTATCATGACGAACCTAGGTCTCGGTGACCCTACTAATTCTTAACCCTAATTGTGATACTTAGATATGTGGGATATTTGTTTGTTACTTTGATTTACCATGGGTGAGAGCCAAGTATTGGTTCAATATGCTCTGTACAACATTATCTGCATGATATCTATTTATTGGCATTAGGGAACTGTGTCCTGGACATCCAGGTTGATGACGTCCCCTTAAGGAACTCATAAAGATTATCGTATAAACCCTGCAGGTGGATTTAATCCGTATAATAATAAGGTTGAGTGGTACTACTTAAGGAATAAATGATATTGATTAATTAAAGCAGTCAGAAGCTTTAATAATTAATGGACGTGCGATATCTTAAACACGGGGAATTATATCAAGTCTAATAGAAGCCCTGATTCATTTCGGGATAGGACGTGAGTGCAATATTAATTCTTCTAGTGGAATGAATTAATATTTACAAACCAAATTGTGTTATTGGCTGAACATAAGAATTTGGGCCTGTAGGGAGCCCAAACCCTATACCTTCTAAGAGATCCCTAGTCTGGCCCAAGGACCTCTATAAAAGGAGGGGACCTCACACGATCTAAACTCTAGTAATTTCGTGAGACACTCCAGCCACCATCGTGGAGAGAGTAACGAGAAGGGTTCGAGAAAGACGAGGGCAGTCTGCTTATTCCAACCGTTTGGAGGATCATCGTCCATCCGGCGTCCAAGCGTGGTCGGGACACAGACTAGAAGATCGCTCAGATCGAATCAAAGCCTCGAAGAATGGTATATCTCTGTTTGTTCTTAGTAGCATGATTAACTTTATTTGAAATCATGTATGCATGTGTTTGGTATCCGATATCGATCCGTGGGAAGGACCGCCTCGTCGGCGTGTTCCAGCAAATACCTCGAGGGACTAAACCAAGTCGAGGAGACCCGGGAGCACGAGGGGCTTTAGGGTCCTCAAAGAGAGTGCCCGATAGTAGCGCCTGATTATACACGTCCCGGTCGATGCCGAAGGGCGAGGCACTAGAGTTAATAGACCCCTCCGGCTCGACATTTTGATAAGTACTCATTCTAACATCAGTCATTTGAACGGAGTTAGAATCCAGATAATTGTCGATTTCATGAGTGAGGGAACTAGACAAAGGGTCAGAAGTAGGAGCGGAGTTGGAATCTAGAAAAGAGAAAACGACGATCAATAGAAAAATGTAATGGCAGCCACAATTCAACTCCAAGGGAAATAAAACCATAAAAGAAGCGAGCAAATCGACTCGACAGAGGTGCAACAGAATAGAAAATCCTTTGGAATTCGTGAACCATCCTTAATTCATTCAACTCGAGGAGGGAATATCAAATCAGTAATAGTCAAAGAGAAGCAGAAGAATCGATATCGAATCGACCGCTGAGCAAAAATATGCAACTAAAGATCTAAAACGAAATCGCTAGAAATTCACCTAGAAAATCCCAGAGTTCGGTAAGCATGTAAAATCTAAACATATCGCCCAAAAAAACAAAAAAA